TGCTGGAATACCTGGAGCAGGGTCATTCCCATCCCCTCTCCTTCTTTAATTGCAAGATCTAAACCAATTTTACCTTATGATTCAAGATTTCATTCATCCTTCTAGTAGCCTCTGTAGTATGAGACTCTGGGAAGTATTTCTTGGGAACCACACCATACTTTTCTAAAAGAAAGCAATACAGGTATACGTTAACAACTGTCTTTTCGCCACAACAGAACTAGTGTTTCTGCTCATGCACACATAAAAACTACATAGTGTTCTGTGCAGACTTTATAAGAGAAAAGTCTTGTTTAAAGGTTACAAGTACTCAAAGTTTACATCTTCCCTTGACAGAATCCTGACCTCCGATCTGCATTCCATGCAGGTCCCAAGAGGTGGAATCCCTGAGTGGCCTCGTATCGTTTCATCTGACACTTTAAAAGGCTCTAAACTAGTGGTTTGTTTGTTTGTTTCTAAGATCTTTTTTAACAGGAAGAAAGTTTACTTGAAAATTAGCTTCCAGAAATGTCTTCCAGAAAGACTGGGCCTCTTATGAATTATTCCATGTATTTGATCTAAGGCTGAGTGACTAACTTCCCAGTTTCCTTTCCTCCTGAACATTTATAAAACATCAGCAACAGCTCAGTTATTTCCTACACCATGGTACTAAGGATCACACCATGCAAGCTCTGGATATAACAGCAGCATCCAGAAGTTTTCTCTGGTTTGTTTAAACATTTGTGAGTACTTGTAATGACTGAATGGGGAAAAAAGTAACCTCCAGGCTTCAAATAAACAAGTTCCTTTTGTGATTCTAAACTTGCATTATTAGCTTGTGGCTTTACAAGGTGTCGCAATGTTTCACCATACAAATGAAAGCAAATGCTAGTCTAATTCAAACACTAAACATCCCCTTAATTATTGCTAAGGATGATCCTACCTAAACTGGATCTTTGTAAGACCAGCACTGCCACATTCCACATAATTTCCCTCTGACTGATCTTTGTATCAGCTTTCTTCAGGCTGCAACTCTGAAAGCCCTTCTACTTCTGCCTTGTAGACACACCCTGGTCTAACAAGGTTTCTTCTTTACCAGGTACACTGAATTGTAAATATGGATATAAACAAAGGCAACATGTCAAATTATAACTGAAATAACAGGGGACTGAAACACGCTTAGTAAACAGACAATCTGGGTTATCTAATTACTTCTGCTGATTTTCTGAGCTTGTATCAGCAGCAATATGCAAAAATGAAGATCCCAGAAAAGATTTAAGCATAATATTTAAAAGATAACATGAAAAAGATCATTGATTAAAAAAGGAAATGGCTAACAGCACTGTTTTTAGCAAGCTTCTAGGTCTCACAATGATTCTTCTTACTCAGAGTTTACAGTAATCTTAAAGATCAATCACCAGTCTATGCTGCTAGTTTTTCCTTTTCCTATCTGAGTATTAAGGAGATGGGACAAGAAAACCCATGTCTATGAAAGTTCATATCCTTTTTTCCTACATTAGTAACATGAAGGTGATTATTACCTGAAAGGAAGTGTTATTAGGAAACAGGTTAGCTGCTTTTTGATGTGGTATGTTAGAAACTTAAAGAAAGCAAAGCTGGAAATCAATAACAAAGTCCAGAAGAGCTTACATAACTCTCCAGACCTCATTCTAACCCGCAATGTTTTCCATTAAACATTAGCAGAATGCTCCGAGAGACTACAGTCCTGAACTTTCAGGCACAGAAAAGTAAAAGACCAGATAAACTTTACATTTGGAGCTATGTTATTACTCCTCACAATGCATAAACCTGCTCAGTCCGTATGGATAGCCACGTAGTTTTGGCATGGCTAACAACATTATCACAGCTCAGCTCAAACCGTGGTCACAGGGCAGTTTAGGCAAAGCAATCCAAAGTGAGTACATGCATCTAAAGCAGGTGTCTGAAGTTTTTCTTGGTTGAATATTTAGCAGAGCATTGCTTTAATGATGGCAAAAGTTAAGGAAAGCAAAAGGCAGTTAACTATTGGCCCTAAGCAAGATTATCATCGCTTCAGCTTTATCATTTGTTCAGATCATCAATTCTGTTTCTTACTGAGTGCAAACTGACAGCTGCCTGTGTGCAGACTTGATGCTAAAAAGAATGTGTTTTGAGAGAACAAGAAATACAGCCAGGTAACTAACACGTGTTTTAAGGTAACTACACAGACAACCACTTCACTGCAGATTTTGTTATATCACAGACGTTTCAAGCCAGTTTTTGAAAGGTAACAGTGAAAAGTAAACTCAAACCTCTGTTTGAGGTCTTCTGTGGTGCCAGCTACTATTTGACCTAGGTGATCCTAGTTTTAAACACTGCAGAACCAATCCAAAATTGTGTTTTCACTCCTTATCTCCCAAACCAGTGTACAATTTAGGAAGTGCTTCCAGCAACCAATTCCCTTACCTATAATGTTAACCAACATATCCCACTGTCCACCATCGTTTGTGGGGTTAGAGAGCAGGAACTGTACCAGTCTTCCTTCTACAGGCTCCTTTTTCTGAGCTGTTTCCACAAAGGCATTTAAATAGTAGTAACAGCGTTCGACCTGGAAGGAACAGACAGGATAAATGTCTAAGTGTGATGTATGCATGAATACACTCCCATATAGTCCTTTCTTTGGAAGCCTGCACATCCACTAACACTCTCATTTTCCCCACAGTATTCCTATAAGCTTATTCTTGTTACAGACCAAGTATTTACAAGTGAGTGAGTACAGAGCTTGAGGGTGGAAAAAAACAGGAAACGTGAAAGAGAAGTTATGTAACGAAGCCTGGCCCAAACCAGCACTCGATTTTCTCAATTTCCCTTAGGGAAGAAAGCAAAGACACAGCTCCCAGATCAGCAGGTCACAAGCACTACTGAAAGACCTCTCAACAGAAAATTACAGTTATGTTTCCTGCTGGGCCTCCTGCAAATACCTTTGGGAATACTCAAAGTCTCTCTCGAGTGTTTTTTACTTTTCCAGACCATTAATATCTTCACAGCTTCCTTTGCAATCTGGAAGTCCCACTTTGTGCTATCTTAATTTAAAACATACATTTAAGGAACTTCTGGTGTTTCCTATCACGCGTGTTTTCCATTTAAGACAGTCCAACCTAGAAGAAATTCCATCCCAATACTAAGACCAGTCGCAGATGCAGCTCTAGCAGTCTGTGAGCTGTCCTACCGTACCTTATCCCAGAAAAAGAGGTACGACTGGCTGAATTCAAACTCTTCAATGTTGTACTTTTTCATGAAGGGAAGACGCATTGCATTGAGGCAGGAGAAGATCCAACATCTCCCTGAGATCAAAGGAACAAGAATTAAACCAGAATGCTTGTACTCAAATCCGCACAAGGTCTCCAAACACCAGATTCATGAAAACATCCCTTCTGAAACCTTTGGCCCACTGTCCTGGCTGGCACTGTAAAATACTGAATAACGACAGCTCAGGAGTCTTGAAGCACACAGGTAGGGTCTCAACTGCTTCATTCTTATCCTTTACAGAAGGCAAATATTGGAGGTGTGAAGACAGTTACCAACTCAAGGATGCTGTGAGGATTCAGTTTCAGCTCTCAGAAGTCTTTTGAACAGATGTTAGCAGAACACAGGTGGCAACAGAAGCCAGGTAAGGCTGGAAACCCTTCTACTGTACTGCTACAAGTTAACTGCCTTGTGTCAAACCACTACAAGCCATCCCCAGCAGGCACAAGCCTGAAGACCCTGAAGACCCCCCCCCTTGCTCTACAACCCCCAGGGAACACCTCCCACAAGCCCCGTTCCCCCCCAACAACACTTACCGGAGTTCTTCTGGTTGGTGACGGGCTTGCCCTCAGCAGGGCAGGGCATGCTGGAAGACCTGCACAGTGTCCTGCACCACCTGGCGCTGCAGGCACACCTCCAGCGGGTCGCTGCACGTCGCCACATTCTGGGCCAGCAGGAAGCGGGGCTCGGCCCGCAGCCGGCGGCTGAAGGCAGCGGCCTTCTCTGGGCTCAGCCCTGAGGGACGGGGGGTGGCCGTCAGCAGGGTGGCTGGGACCCAAGGGACCCCCCCTGGGGCCTATCCTTCACCGGGACCCCCCCCTCCTCACCAGGACCCCCTCCTGGGCCCCCCCTACCAGGATCCTCTTCAGAGCCCCCCTCTTCACCGGGACCCCCTTCAAGGCCCCCCCTCCCCACCGGGACCCCTTTCAATGCCCCCCCCCTCACTGGGACTCCCTTCAGGGCCCCCCCCTTCACCGGGACCCCCTTAAAGCCCCCCCCCCCTTCACCGGGACTCTCTTTAAGGCCCCCCCTCCTCATCGGGGCCCCCTCCTCCCTCACCGGGACCCCCTTCAGGACCCCCCTCCGTCACCGAATCCCCCTCCAAGGCCCCCCACTCACCAGGACCCCCTTTAATGGACCCCCCACTCCCCACCGGGACTCCCCCTCACCCCCCCCTCTCCTCCCAGCCCCCCCCTTCAGGACCCGTTACCCCAGAACCCACCCCCTCAGCCCCCCCTCACCTCCCCGTTGCTATGACAACCGCTCCCCCTCCCTCCCAGATTCCCCCCCCCTCACCCCGTTAATCCCGATAACGCCCCCCCCACAACCCCCCCATCCCCGTTGCCCCGGTAACCACCCCCCCTCCCCCCTCCCATCCCCGTTGCCCCGGTAACGGCTCCCCCCGCCCCTCACCGCGGGCGTTCATGGCGCGGGTCTGGGGGCTCCGCTCACACGGCCGGGGCCCCGCAGCGGGTCGCGCGGCCGGGCGGAAGCGGCTTTTATAGCCCCGGCACCGGAAGCAGGAAGCGGGGCCTTGAGGGGAGTGGGGGGGCGGTGAGGACGGCGGCCGCCGAGGGACAAACTTGTGCCTGGGCCGCGCTGCGGTGTCCCTGAGGGCGCCTCCCCCCCCCCCCCCCATCCACCCCCCTTTCCCCGACCTCCCTCCTCCCTGCAGCCTTCCAGAATGTTCTGAGGGGGGGAGAGGACCCCCCCCCCCCCCATGTACACACACACCCCTATTTAATTATTTATTATTTATTTATATAGTGAGGTGCACAGAGGGTCCCCGTGGCGCCTTCGTGCCCCGTAATGGCCCCAGGGGGGGAGTTTGGGTGCCACAGCCTTGTGGTGATGGGGTTATCGGCACCACAAAAAACACCACAAAACACCACAGGGCAGTCGGATGCCAGCAGGACAGGCCGGCCAGGAGCCATGCTGTAGGACGGAGCCCAGAAGGTGGCTGCCAGCCCCTCAGTCCCGTGTCGCACCCCGATCCAGCCCTGGGTGTGCACACAGGGAAGGTTTGGCAGCCTGCCTTCCCCCCCCGGCTGTGCTTTAAACAATAAACCAGAATCGGGAGCCGTGAAGAAGTATTTGTATTTCAAAAAGACCACAGGAACTCGAGCCTTATGGCAGGGTTTAATCATCTCTTGCAGGGGTTTGTGTTCCGCCACTAGAAGCTGTGGGCGTGCACGGGAACTTGCTGATCCTTACCTGCAGCGAAATGAAAAGAAAAATCACCTACTATGGAAAAAAAAATACAAAAACATCTGAGTGGAATTCACTTGGGCTGTATTGGGGCATCCCGTTTTCCCCCACTGCCTCCCCACAGGCGTTGCAGGGTGCTGGGATGGCCAGGCCAGGAGCCACCTGGGGCTGTGCCTCTGTGCTCGTGTCCCCGTGCTCCCTCCCAGCCTCTCTGCTGGGAGAGGAGGTGCAGGCCAACTGTGGCCAGCCAGAGCAGAAGCAGGGGAGCTCAGCCTGGCTGGAGTTAGTGTGTTGAGGTCTTTTGTTCCCCAGCTTCTGCTGAGGCTTAAAGACAGGATTTAATTCAGAAGCTTGTTCTGGGAAGCTGCATGAATACGCAGTCAAATACTTACAGAGCTGTTTCACTTGATTTCTTGAAGCACTGAAAATAAAGACAGAGTCCTGTTATCTTTCATATGTTCTGGCCAAGGGGTATTTTTACTAATGTCTTACATGCGTGTAATTCTTTCCCCCTAGAATACCTAATATTTGATTTATCTACTGGTAAATCCAACGCAGGAGGTAGCACATAATGGTTCTCTAACACTGAAAGCAACCCAACAAAGCAGTATAGAAAAGGCAGAAAACAAAAGGGCATCACAGCAAAACAATCTACTTTTTTCCCTCAGAAACTAGATCTATCCGTACCTTAAAAATTTTATCTTTTCGAGCCACAATTCCAAAAAGCACGGTGAGCGTAACCACCACCACAGCAGCAATAACAGCCTCCAGGGGGAAAACAGTTTTTTTATCTGCAAAGAGGGGAGAGGAGGTTGTGTATCTGCTAGATTGGTACAGTTACATAAAACAAGTCATTTCACAGAACCACAGAAAGGCACATTTCTATTTTGGCGAACCAAAGGAGGAATTAAAATGTTGGTCCCTGCAGAGGATCCCCGGGGTACTGTTACGTGTGGCAATATGGATATCCAGCTGTATCACTGACAGCTAACGTTGCTTTTATCTCTTTTTCAGGACACCATGGGCAGTGGGGTGGGCAGTGGATGCCCCTAATCTGGTGGGCCACCTGACCAAGCATCACCTGTCAGAGACACAGGCATCCAGCACGGCTCGGCCTCCGCCTGCCTGTAGTCCACAGAGGTACAGTCATTTCTGGAGGACAGCTAATCTGTCTTGCCTTAAGCAGCTTTTTTAGCATGACAGAATACTGTGGTTGGAATACAAAGCTTCAAGTGAGACCTGAGGTGCTTTAAAACACACTTGGATGTGCCCTGTCATCATGGGAAGTGAGAAAGTGGGACGAGTCTGCTTCAGGCCATGCTTGCCAAGTGCCTGTGAATAACAAGTAAAGCAGGAAAGGCCTTTACTGGTGCTGTGCACCTGGGCGCAGGTGAGATCCTCATAAACACAGGGAGTTTGCCACTTTCCACTTACATTTCTTTACACTTCTCCACCATATTAATGTAAGTGGACTGCTATCGTTGTAAAACAGAATGGAGAGTTAGGTGTAAACCTTATTGTTTAGCAGCAGCCTTGTTACCTTCAACTATCAGGTGGAAATTCTTTCTCCCGGTTCCCAAAGAGGATTTCACCTCACAGGTGTAGGTCCCGTTGTCAGACTTCACTACTTTCGTGATAGAGAGCTGGAAGACCTCGCTAGTCTGGTACACCTGGTAGCGATTTTGCTGTAGGGTCAGGATGGTGTCGTTCTTGTACCAGGTTGCTTGGCCTTGCGGGTTGGATTTGGCATTGCAGGTTAGAGTGACGTCTTTGTCTTCTTCGGCTTTGACGGTCTCGTCTTCAGTCACGTTGGGAGGAACTGTTCAGAGTAAATGCGGATAAATAGGTCATTAACAACGCTGCTCGCCATTAAACAGGAAATAACTTCGCTTTTCACATCGCTTGTGCGCCTTGTTTAAATGGGGTTGGCACGCTGCCCTGCAGCCCTTCATGATCCCCAGGGATCAGCAGGGCAGGCATGACAGTCGCTCCCGTGACTCCCCTGCCCTGACTTGTATCCTTGAGAAAGAATCTAGGTGGAGGCAGGGACATAGCCAGAAAATCTTCTTAAGGGCCCACCCACTCCCTGTAAAAGAGGCATCAGATCAGGCCATAAGCAACAGTGTGGAAAGGGAGTGTCTTACCACGTGAGCTGTCTCCTCCTAAACGCATTTTTTCCGGGTGAACACAGCGTACAAGGGTGCAAAACACCCTGCCTTCAACTCACACCCAGACCCCAAGGTGCTCAGCCCATGATTCTGTCTCACCAGGCCGTTCCACACAGATACCCACAACAACGACTCACACTGGACATCCAGGATCACCGAGACCTTGACGGATTGGTCCCGCCTCAGCTTGCACGTGAAGGTGACACCATTGTCGGTCTCAGTGGCCGGGGAGATGCAGATGTTGCTGATGTTCACTTTGTTCCCATCTTTCAGATCCACTTGGCCATCTCCTCGGTACCAGAGCAGCTCCTCGGCCTTGCTGCTGTTCTGTACCAGGCAGGAGAGGGAGATGGGAGTCCCAGATGATGTGGACAGGGTGAAGTCAGCAGCATGGTTGTTTACAGACAGTTCCACGCCTGCAGAAGGAGAATGAGAGCATTTGGGTGTCCTAAGCTGTACCCTTCCCACAGAAGCCCTGCGGTTTCCCCAGGCCTTGACTTTGAAGGAGACACTGACAGAAGAGCTCCAGGCTTCAACATGACACTTATCTTTCAAGTGTGACTTTAGTTTCTGAGACAGGAAGCATCTTCATCACAAAGCTCACTTCATGGTTACTTAAAATCAAAGTGAGGCATTTGCAAGTGCCTGCGTGAATGCCAAAGCCTGACCTATAATAAGACAATGTCTGAAAACCACATTATGTCAGCAACGACGTAACACACAGCAAAAGAGCATCCTGCCAGTATTGCCCAACCTTCTGCTACAAGTCACTGATGCAGCATACCGGTGCCCTCAGTTTTCGTGACACAGTTTGGTATTCTGCTTTTTGGCTTGAGCTGAACGTGCTTGAGAGTGTAGAGCAGTGAATCAGCTCCTCTGCCATGCCCAGGCAGTTTGTGAGTTGCAGTTAATCTAACGTACAAACCTCAGGATGTATTAAATGGGAAAACAGTATGGGAAATAAATTTTTCTATCAAGTTAAAACTCACTAGACTAAGCTATCATGGATTAATGAGCTAAAAGCACATTGCAGAATATAAAGGCACAGCGGCCTCGTCATTCCCGTGCAGCTGCTGCACTAACATTTGAAAATGCTGATGCTTCCCCATTCCCTGCTCAGCTCCTCTAAAATCAGAGGCCAGCTTTTAGGCAATCCTCAGGGAAAGAGCTCCAGAGCATACGAAAACTTGGGATGCTGCTGTGGCACATCACCCCGGGCAGCACCCAGCCCCGGTTTCTCCTGTCAGCAGTAGGCGGTTCGGACAAAGTGATGATGGATTTTTTTCCATTGCTTACCTGTGGCTACGCATGCCAAAAAGCAAACCAGGAGGACAGGCACTGCATAGGGGACTGCAAGGCTGCTTTTCTGTGCCATCTCCGAGGAGCCCAGCCGGTGCCTGTTGAAGAGAGGGAAAGCCACAGCGCTGCTGCCGCTGCTGGGGCTCGCAGAGGGGCTGCCTGCTGCCATCAGACACCCTGGGGAGAGCCCTCACCGACACCAGGCCAGGGTCACTGGGGATAAACTAAGCCAATTTGTTGCACAATTTTTTCCAAGTCCAAGCATAACCAAGGAGATTTTGTGTCTTTCACCTCTGTTGCATGAATCCCTTGCCTCTCACTACCTGTCTGCCAGGGGCGGCTGTCTCTGGGATGTAGCAGAGGACTTACCTTGGGAAGTGTCCCAGGAGAGGCTGCTTCTGAAAAGAAATGTGCAGCGCTCTCCTCCCTGCATTTATAAGGTCTGGATTTTAATATTTTATGGTAGTTCACTAAGAAGTGAGTCCATAAAATGGGTTCAAGGCCTCATTTAATTCCTGGATTTCTGAGCTCCCAGAACATTGAAGAAAAGTATTTGCTGGGCTCTGCTGTCTGTTTTATGAGACTTGCTGAGGCAATGAGTAACTAATGAGAAAGTTCCTGCATCAGCTATAAAGACCTTCTGCCAAAAATAACACCTTTTCACTTTCAGCTTTCTGGCTGTTTGTGACACCGTTTCAAGCCGTAGGAAGTTTATCCTAGATTATTGTTGAACAGGAGGAGACTCCGATACTCCCCCTCCTGCCTGAAGGTCCGTTGCTGTGTCCTTCTTTGATGGAAAAAGGAGAAAATGCACCGATTCAGACTTTGAACCGTGTGTTGGCAGAGGGAGCAGTGCCACTGCCCTGCTAAAAGGTGAGTACCCTCGGCTGGCTCAGCCCCTGGGAAGAGCGAGGGTCGCCGCGCTGCAGTGGTGCCGCATGATAAAAAGGAAATGTTTGGAGTAAATGAGGATGTGAAGGATGAAAGCACGGAGTCTGGGGTGTGTTTTTCAGTCTAGAAAGAAGAGTAAAGGAATTAGAGGTTCCATGGTGGGTCTGTCATGATGCAGGGCACAGCATCAAATGGCACCTGGGGAAAATTCTGCCCTGGATTTGCCCCAAGTCTGTGTGACAGGCAGCAAGGTGAACTGGGGTTCCTTGGGTTTACAGTTTTGAAATGAAAGCGATGGCAGTGCCCTGTTTTGCAATGGGATTTGGGAACTGCCAAAGGAAGGGAGACTAGAAAAGCAAGGTGTTAACTTGGCTAGAGGCACCGAAAGGGAATGCTCTAAAACTGATAAGAATTACTTTCGCAATGACTTTTTGCATATTCCCTTTTATAAAGGGCACAATCATCCTGTGGGAGTCTAATTACCGCCGAGGTCTCGAGCTGAGTGGGTTGCGTTATCCACCTTCCTGGGACACCTAGGAGGGACAGAAACGTCATGTTCCGGGATGTGAAGCAGCCCCTGGTGACTCAGACCAGGAGGAACCCTTCAGACAGGCAGAACCCCGGTGAGTCTCCGCGGCAGCGGATCCAGTGCCCTCCTTTGAGGTGTTTGGATTGTGTCAAGGCTGGGTTAGGCAGAGCTGGGCTTGAGCCACCACCATCCACCCACCCGCTCCTCCTCGCCGTCCTTATGGCAACAGTGGGCTGACAATAATAAACCCCAATTAAGCCTGTTGTTAAATATGACTCTGAGCAGCCCCGAAGGGAGTAAATTAACACACAGCAGTCTATTTCTGGGTGTAATCCAAGCCTTGGAAACCCGAGAAGAAAAGATTTAGAACGTGATAGAGATTGGGCCAAAGTTCATTTTCCACTGGCTGTCTTAACTTCCAGCCCCAACCTCCTCCTTGGTTTGGTTTCCACTTGATTATCCTCAGTGCCTCCGGGGGTAGAGAGCACAACGAGTAATCCCCTGAACGTTCGCTGGCAGGCAGCACAACTGATATTCAGCAGTGAGGGTGGAAGATTGCTCCTGGAGTCTGGGGCACAGCAGGATCTGCACCGACGTGTGGGATCTGGGGAGCGAATCCACGGGCTGGGCTGTGTTGTGAGGTGAGCAGTGCCTCCAAGCCCACTGTAATCCTGCTCCAGAAAACATGTTTGCAACAGAGCCTGAGGCTCTGCTCCAAGCCTGCTCCCGTCTTCCTACTCGTGGTGGTTCTCCTCTCCTAATCCCTTTTTAATATGCGGTGCTACATATTTTGCAACCCCATTGTTTGGGCATGACTCTAACATGGCCTCCGCTTGCCAGCTGTCAGCTGTCGGGGCCGGGCTGCCAGGGGATGCCGACGAGCATCCTCAGCACCCCTGGGCCTCCCCCAAAACCGAATTTCCCAAGTATAAAGATCAGGAAGGATGAGACATGGATTTGCAGGCTCGCAGCCCATGCCCCAGATATCGCCCACTGTTGGGACAGAACTTTTTCACAAGTTTGTTAATAATTCTGTTTCCTGATCGCCCTGAAATGAAAGGTTATGTGCTCTGAATAGCCATGGGAAGGAGAAAGAATAGCAAAAGGAGTGCTGGACCAGTGCACGCTGTAAAAAATGATGGAAAAGAAGTCACTCAGCAGGTGAGTGGCATCTGGGCTGCGACGTGGTGCTGGTGAGTAATGGGTGCGGGTTTGGGTGTGGAGGCACGGGGTGCGGGTGCCCCCTGCGGGACACAGGGTGCCTCTGGCAGCCCGTGGCAATGGCCCAAGCTGTGGGTAGCAGCTCGGAGCAGGGGTGTGGGACCTCCTGGGTGGGTTTGGGTTTCATCCTGGCGTGGGAAGCCCCCTGAGGAGCCTGTGCTGGCAGCGGTGCAGCACGGAGCTGTATCCTGGCCTCGCTGTGCTCATCTTTCAGAAGTTTAGGTAGTTTTTTTTAGGCAGGCATCAATGTTTAAATTGTTCAAACAATCCCTTGAAGCTGTTGTTTCAGGATCTTCTGAGCTCTCCCTCCTTGAAGTGAGCACGAGGAGCAGAAATGTGCCCAGAAGGGCAAGTCTGACCTTTAGGGAAGAGCATTGAGGCACTCGCCAGCATTTCCTGTGCTGTGATGAAAACATCCAGAGACTGCAGGAACTCTGAGGAGTGTGCAGGGACGTCGTGGCATGCTGCTGCACCACAGTGCCTGCTGCTGTTCTCAGCCTTCTTCCCGAACTGCTCTGGGTCACATTCGGTGCTGCTGGCACGCCTCGTCGCCGGTCTTGATTTAGAAAACTAAAGATAGCACCCAAGTGTGGCCGTTGCTATCCTAACCTGAGAAATACAGTCCCAAATAAAAGCAAATGTGAAAAGAACTTAGCATGACATTAGCAATATAGGTCCCTGCGGGAGATAAAGGTGAGTTTTCTGTGCTGAATTCCACCTCGGTGTTGGTCCTTGCAGCTTCCCATCTAGGGAGTCCTGTTTAACAGCCTTCAGCTTTCACACCTCGTAGCACTCAGGCAAATTAATAATATTGATCCTTAATTTGCATCATGAAACTCCATTTTCAACCTGATTAAAGCAATTTGCAAGGCAGTCTCCTGCCTCAGCAGGCTTGTAGCAGAGATTGTCTGCTAGGTCCCCGTGACTTTGTTGTTTTTCTGGACAGAAAACATGCCGCTGCCACTGCAGGGCAGGACTTCAAGTTTTTTTTCTTCCTCTGGGAAAAGAAAATGACTGGGGATGCTGCTAAGTTGGGTGCCTGTTTCTTGCCTGATTTAGATGCTCTCTGACGGCCAGTACAGGAAATTCCCTGGTATTATTCTCAGATCTGCTTCTCTTTCATCACTGTTCTTCTGTGGCTACTCTACAGCCCAGACCCAAGATATTTTTGCCTACCTAGGAACCATCATCACCAGTGGGATTTCTCGGAAGTGCTCTGCTGGAAATCCGAGTGCTGATTTGATCGTGTGAAGACCTGCCAAAAAACACGAGCAGTTTGAACTTCCCTGCTGTGGAGTCATCCCCCGTTCCTTGGGCGAGGAATCCGCAAAGCCCCAGCTGCTCCATCTTGCTGGTTGACGGGGAGCCGCTCGCTGCCAGTCTTCAGGAGGAAACCGCACTCCTCAGGGGCTGAAACCACCACGGACGGTGTTGTAAGGCAAAAGCCACAGCCCCCATGTACCAAGCCTTGCGGTGTGCCAGGGCTGCAGCTCTCTGCACGCAGAAGCACGGAGCGGAGCTGGAGGAGTCCCGCAGGTCAGTCCCTCACCTGTGGTCATGCTCACCCAGGGGCCTGGCAGCTCCTAGGCTGGCCCAAGGAAGCGTGGAGGTTTTGTTGTTAGTGGCTGCAGAGAAAATGACGGGGTGAGTCAGTCCTCTGCCACATGCTGCTTTTACAATTGGTTTGTTGAAATTCCAGACAACCGGGCTTTTATCAGCTAAAAAGGGAAATGAGCTCAGTTACTCTGTGTAAATCCAGAGTGATTTATTTGTAGACGAAGGACTTAAACCTATGTAACTGTGACCACTTGTGAGGCTGCCAAATTCCCTGGTGATGTCCCTTCTCCCTTTTGGTTTAAAAACACCCTGGTGACCCAGCTCTTTCAGCTTTCCCAGTTTAATTAGATCGGGGACATCTCTTTGATGGATAATCCCTGTTCCCTGCTCGTCTCCTTCGTAATGACTGTGCAGCGCAGATGAGCCCCGAGGAAGAGAAGCCAATTTACTCTCCTTTTCCTCAGGGCCCTTCCGATGCTGCACCACGCGTGGCTTACACACAAGTTCTCATCATCTGATTTGTCGTGCAGGGGATCCCTGGACGCAGCGAGATCAAAGGTTCAACAGCTGACGGCCGCCCTGAAGACTGCAGCCTGATGCTCTAAGCTCAGAGCTGGTATCCCCGACAGGAAATGCCGGAGCTGGGAAGCAGATGTGTGTGTGAGATACTGCCGAAAAGTTAAACAGGAATTGATGAGCCCCGCTGCCGGACAGGGCCGCTCTTGGGGCTTTGTGCAGAGTAAGTTATTGTGCTGGTTATTCCTTGTCATTTCGCCTCCCTGGAAAAAGGAAGCCACGAAGATCTGAGTGGTGGAACCCCCAAAGTGTTATTTATATAAAGCCTCTCGGGTCCGTGTCCCGTTGGCACTGTTCTGCCATAGCCCACGGCACAGCAGCGCTGTGCACGACACCTGTGGGTGCTGGGGTGCCTGTAACGACACGTAACCATGCTGCAATGCCAGTAATGACACCTAACGGTGCTGGGGTGCCCGTAATGACACCTGAGGGTGCGGGGATGTCCCTAAGAACACCTCACGGTGCTGGGGTGCCTGTAACAACACCTAACCGTGCTGGGTGACCCTTAACCCCCTGGGGTCAGGACTGGGTGCCGGGGGGCAGCCAGGACAAGCCCCAGGCAGCAGAGCCACACCTGAACCCCTCATTGTTGTGCCGGGGCAGGCAGCCACCCCGCACCTTCCTCCTCCTCTCCGGCTTCGGCTCCGTTTGCAGCTCCCTGGCTTTGCTTTGCTATCTCCGGGGGGCTCTGCTCCAGCAGCACACGGCGCTGGGGGCTGGGGCAGGGCTGGCCGGCCACATGCGGGGCCTTTTGGGTTGCCCAAAGGCCGCAGAACCCCCAAAGACCCCAAAAACCCCAAACCCCCCGAAAAACCCCAAATCCCCCCCAGCCCTCCCCGCTCCTCCCGCCAGGGGGCGCCGCTGAGCCTCCGTGCGCCCCCCCCCTTCTCCATGACGCTCCTCTCCCCTCCCCTTCCCATTGGCCAACCTCCCCTTTGCCCCTCCCCTCCCTCCCCATCCGCGCCCTCTCATTGGCCAGGAGGGGCGGAGCGACAGCACCTCGGCCCCGCCCCCCTTCCTCCACCTCCTCCTCCCGGCTCCGGAGCCCGGGGCTGGGGTCGGGGCCGGGCCGGGCCGGGCGGTGGCGGCGGCGGGGCCATGGCGGGGGCAGCGCGGGGGCTGCTGTGGGCGGCTTTATCCCTGTGCCTGCTGCCGGAGCCTCTCCGTGCCGCTCATATTAAGAAAGCGGAGGCGGCGGCGGCCGGAGGAGGAGGAGGGGTGTGGGGGGGGGGAGCTGCGGTACCTGCACGCCGCCGAGCTGGGCCAGGCGCTGCGGGACCTGGTGGCCGAAGCCCCCCCGGGGCTGGCCCGGCTCTTCAGCATCGGCCGCTCGGTGGAGGGGAGGCCGCTGTGGGTGCTGCGCCTGACGGCCGGGCTGCCCGAGCTGCCCGAGGCCCGGCAGGACGGGGAGAAGAAGAAAAAGGAGGAGGAGGAGGAGGAGGAGGAGGGGGAGGAAGGAGGGGGGGGGGCGCTGCCCGGCCGGCCGCAGGTGAAGCTGGTGGGGAACATGCACGGGGACGAGCCCCTGGCCCGGCCGCTGCTGCTGCGCCTGGCCCAGGAGCTGGTGCGGGGCTGGGCCGGGGGGGACGAGAGGCTGGGCCGCCTGCTCAACACCACCGACCTGTACCTGCTGCCCAGCCTCAACCCCGACGGCTTCGAGCGTGCCCGAGAGGGAGACTGCGGAGGAGGAGGAGGAGGAGGTGAAGGAGGAGGAGAGCCCGGGGGCCGGGAGAACAGCCGAGGCCGGGACCTCAACCGCAGCTTCCCCGATCAGTTTGGGAGCGCTCAGCCTGACCTGGAGCCGGTGCCCGAGGTGCGAGCCCTCATCGCCTGGATGCGGCGCAACAAGTGAGTGTGGCCCGCAGGGAACCCCCCTGGGCTCTCCTCGGGTGTCCTCCAGGAGGGGCAGAGCCCTCCTGCTGCTGCCTGGCCCGCAGGGTGCTGCCCCTGCCCTGTGCCCACCTGCCTGGGCTCAGCCTCCACAGCCCCCTGCATCACTATCCTCAGATAGGGGATGCTGCTTGCATGCTCTTCCCCAGCCTGGCCAAGCCATCGGTGCCCCCAGTGCTCCCTTTGTGCTTCCCTTCCTGCCTGGAGGAAGGGGGAGAGGGCTGGGAGGCTGCTGAGCAGGGGAGGCAGCACTGGGGAGGCTGTCCTGGCAGCCTTCAGGCCTGGGTGCTGGCACTGTGCTCACTCTGCCAGCTTCGTTGGGTGCCGTGTCCGAAGCACGGAGCACAGCGTGCACGGTTGTGCAAAGCCAGAGCCTGAGTCCCATCGTCTGGGAGCAGTGAGCTGCAACAGGCTCTGCGCCCTGCCCGAAAAAGGGACAGAGGAAAACTGAGCGCGGTGTGCTGGGGGCTGTTGGTCGGGTCTAAAGGAGATGTGCCAGTGTTCAGCATCCTACAGCGCATGCTCGGTTGTTGTGGGGAGCAAAATTTGTCTGAGGAATTATCTTTAGTGAAACTTAGCAGATGGCAGCACCCATTGGGATCGTTGCTCTAGAACTTGTGAACTGCTCCGGTAACTTGCTTGTCCTAAGGGTCTGTTAGGGGACAGCTCTCGGGCACCAGTGTGCGCTAGGAGCCCTCCAGATTTGGTTCAATTCAGAACTTGTTACAAGGGGCACGTTGTTGGTGTCACTTTGGAAATACCTTGCGCTGTCTATTCAATGATTTTGCAAATTCTGGAGGTGAGATTTTCATGCAAGCCAGGCCAAAACGTGAAGAAACCAGCACCTTGTGCGTCCCTTTGCCTGGCAGCACCAGGCATTGCTGTTCCACTTGTTACACCAACGTAGCCACTGGTACTGAAGGGAATGGGTAAACAGAACTGTTTGATCAGAAAAAAAAAAAGTTAGTGTTGCAATTCACGTGTCCTTTTTAAGCAAGGCAAAGGTATGGGTCACTTTGCCTCTGCTCAGAAATCGAATTATGTTTGGCCAAAAGAGAAGTAAAGCTCTCTTTGCCTCCATGCTGTATTTAGTGAAAAGGAGAATAGAGACAATTACTCCTTTGAGGGCCCGTGATCAAATTAAGGCGCGATGTAGGGCATGCCGTGCTGTTGTACTTTCTTCACTTTTTTTTTTTTCAAGATTTTAACAGCTCTGTCACTCGTCCAGATTTTATTTATGCCAGGCAGTTCTGTTGTGCGTATCAAGCACTGCTCAGAGGCGCCGTGCACATCGCGCTGTGTCTATCACAGGCTTTGAGGGCTTCGTCTTAGGCTGGAGGAAGAAACTTGCTTCATCTCCAGCACTGCCAGATGTTGGTCTGGGGAGCAAATAAACCAGTCCTGACAGTTGGTTTATCGCAGAAATCTGACGTCCCTGACATGCTCCCACTTGGACATTGTTCATATGCTCCAACAATCCTGCGTGCTGCGTTGGGGCTGGCGTTGAAGTGAGGGGCTCTGTCTCCCAGAACAGTTTGGAAACTGTTAACAAAAAGATTTTGTCAAACAGTGGCCTCAGGGCTGGAGGAGCGCGTGTCTGTAACGTAACCTTGGTGGAGCTGCAGCTCAGCAGGAGTTCTCCTTGCACGGAAGGGTCTGAGTGGTTCCTCTTCCAAAACTTGCTGCTGGGCAGCTCTTCCCGTGGGCCCTTTTCGCTTGCTTGATCCCAAAGAGGGTTTGGAGGCTGTGGAGAGCTCGGTTTGGGTGGGAAGGCAGCAGGATGTCTGGTTGTAGCTGGCTTCTCTCTCGGTGTTCCAGTGACAACTCCTTTCCTTCTCCTTCCCAACCCCAGGTTCCTGCTCTCCGGCAATCTTCACGGCGGCTCGGTGGTTGCAAGCTATCCCTACGATGACTCTCCCACGCACAGGCCCACGGGAGTCTACAGTAAATCAGCTGATGACGAAGTGTTCAAATATTTGGCCAAAGCTTACGCCTCACATCACCCCATCATGAGGACTGGCAAACCAAACTGCCCCGGCGAGGAGGGAGAGACCTTCCAAGACGGCATCACGAACGGTGCCCAGTGGTACGATGTGGAAGGTAAGCTGTGCTGCTGAATCGCTGTCAGTTTGGGTCACACACCAAAGTCTTAGAAATGCTTCGTGCTTCCACCGAGAACTGATATCCAAAACCGTGCTGCTTGTCACCGAGGCGAGGATGGTAGGTGAAGGGGTATTTTTAGCTTGGAATGTGTTCTAGCAGCTTGAAATGACGTGAAGTGGCTTCGCAGGCACACCATCGAGTGTTTGGTGAATCACAGTTGGGGAGACGTTTGTAGGAAATAGATCCCAGTGAACTGGAGGGCTCTTCCTGACCCCGCTCGGTGCTGGAGGCATCCTGCACGGAGGAGGCTCTGTTTAACAAATGAGCTGCCATAAGATCTCAAAACAGTTAATAAATTTTCATGATGATACAGGAAAGAGGAAACTTGCCAACGCACTGCAAATCCAAACAGTATTAAACTGAAACCAATGTCAGTCTTCTGCGAGGTTTTTTTAACCTTTAACCTTGCTGTTTTGTAAATGATTTATAAGATAGCCTGCTGTAAAACTGTAGAACGATGTAAATGCGTGGCCTGAGCTAACCGAGCTCCTCTGCCTGGAAGTGGGGCGAGGAACTTGTCTGTGAAGTGCTCTGCTGTCAGAGCTGTGCAGAGGGAGACAGCACGGGCCGTGATTGCCCCTCCTTGCAGCAGGACCTAGAAGGGATCCCAGATCCAGTCTGGAGATGATGTGAGGAGAGCAAATTACCTCCAGTACCAGCAGGCTGCTTCTGCGTGGAAGTGGCTGGCCTGGCACCGGGCTGCTCTGTGCGTTGAGATTCAAAGGCCGGTTTGTAGTGAGATGCTCTCGTGGAAAAGACTCCGTGAGCTAGCGGGAAGAAAAATCTTGGCTGGGTCAGTAGAAGAAGTTTCACCATTTCCACGCCCCCTCAGCGGAATTGTACAATCACGGGCTCACCAGCCAGCAAGGCAACGTCTGTGGTGAGGACAAAACAAAAATCTTGCATAATTGATATGGAGAAGTTGCATTGCTTTGCTGTGTCTGGGCTGCTCTGCTTGCCCTCCCGCTAGGGCCGAGGGATGATGGCAGGAGCGCTGAGCAAGCAAAGCAGCCAAGCATGGTTTATCCCTAGCAGCTTTTCCTAACGAATTCTGGAAAGATGGTGTCTTTCCAAAACGTGGGTTTCAGAGCTGAGTCATCCGTCAGCCCTGACTCCGTGTTCCTTGGGAAGCGAGGAGAGCTCCCCACTACTGGGCCTGAGCACACGGCACCCGTGCTGGAAGAGGAAGTCCTTACTTCAGCAGCGGCTGAATCACTCCTGAAGATTTCACTGGTCAAACAAGACGCAGCGTTCAAACACGATAGCTGTTAGCAAAAAGGGAAAAGCGTGTCTCCTTCCCCCCGCCCTGCCGAGCGCACCGCTGCTGGTGTTTACTGGCTCAAGGTTCACTCTGCTTCTGCGGAAAGTCCAGCGCGAGGAAGGTTTGTGCAATTTTGTGCAGCTGCTTACGACGGAACAGGATATCCTGGATGATCTGTGCCGCCTTGTTTGCCGATAACAACAGCCACCAGAACATCTCAGTCGAGAGGGTTTTCAGCTGCAGCTCTGTGGGGTTTTGCCTTTTTCACCAAACTGGGACGAGTGCGGTGCACTGCTTCACAGCACAATGTTCACTTGTTGGCCCTCCTGCTCGAATGTGAAGCACCCGCTGGTGCCAGCCTGCCCTCGGGAGGTTTGCTGGTGGCTGCTGCGAGCCTCTCAGGCTGCCTTTGCCTCGTCAGCTGGTGGGAGCCGCCGGGCTTTGCTGCCTCCCCCCCGCAGGAAGCAGCAAGGTGTGGGCCGGAGACCGCTTCGCTCTGTGCTGCCATCGCTGCGGTTTGCACCCCGTGTGATAGCCTCCAGCTTTCAGCCTCTGCGGAAACAAACCCTGGGGCTGTGACAAACCACAACCTCGGTCTGGGTCCTGTTGGTGCGGGGGGTTCACAGGCAGAGATTATAGAGAAAGTGCTGGCGCTAATCCGGAAGGGAGTATCACTGAGGTTGGCACCTGTGCTGTCTCTCCCCCAGGCCATAATTTCCATCCA